GAAATTTTATTTTTTAAATACTCTTTAGTAACCCTCAGTTTAAGCCTTCCAGTTAGACCATTTCTTGATTTCGTTATACAAGTTATTGCCAGGGCACTCAGTAGAACCGACTTGACGATGACCATACAAAATATAACCCGACTTAATTTGACCACGAGAAACGGCAGCAGCCAACAAGTTCTTAGCAGCGGAGATTTGAGCAGCAGTGGGTTTATCATTGTTGTAGTTACCCATGAAGGAAATGCCAATAGACTTAGAGTTCCAGTTGGTGGCATGAGCACCCATAACATTCCAGCCACGACCCTCATAGATATTGCCATCACCACCAATCAAGAAGTTATAACCAATATCAGCCCAACCCAAAGTCTTTTGGTGATAACTTTGGATATTTCTCATTTGTTGCATGCAACTGGCCTTGGTGGAGCAGTAAGCACCGGCAGTATGATGAATAACAGCATAAGACAAACCATTAGCCAAAGAGGTCTTGCTGGTAGCAGGTGCACCACCCCACTCAGATTTGGAAATTATGGTAACACCACAAACGGCATGAGCACACACCAAAACGGCCAAAAGACCGACTAATACTTTGGACAACATATTGTAGAGAAAGTTTAAAGAAAACTAATAATTTTCTGGCGATTCCCCGATACTTTTATAGTGATTTTTTTTGGTTTTAGATTATTATGGCTGTCGACTGATAAGAACAATAAGTAGCGTGTGATTTTCATAGGCGAAGTGCTAAATTGTTGTTGTTCGAGTGTAATAAAATTTAAATCAATGCAAAACACAACAACTAGACTTGTTAATATTCGAAATAAATTAAAATTTTAAGCGATATGAGTCCATAAGAGGGTCAATAAATTTTAATGTCATGTGTGAAGTACCTATTAGTAAATATGTGTATTTACGCGTAAAATAAAAGTACAAGAAATGAATGGACGAGTGGTGCAGAAAATATTTAAAGAAATTAATTATGAGTCCTCTTAACGGTTATGGGGAATTTTGTACACCCCTTCGATCTTGACTATAGACTAGACTATAGACTAGACTATAGACTAGACTATAGACTAGACTATAGACTAGACTATAGACTAGACTATAGACTAGACGATAGACTAGACTATAGACTAGACTATAGACTAGACTATAGACTAGACTATAGACTAGACTATAGACTAGACTATAGTACTATAGACTAGACTATAGACTAGACTATAGACTAGACTATAGACTAGACTATAGACTAGACTATAGACTAGACTATAGACTAGACTATAGACTAGACTATAGACTAGACTATAGACTAGACTATAGACTAGACTATAGACTAGACTATAGACTAGACTATAGACTAGACTATAGACTAGACTATAGACTAGACTATAGACTAGACTATAGACTAGACTATAGACTAGACTATAGACTAGACTATAGACTAGACTATAGACTAGACTATAGACTAGACTATAGACTAGACTATAGACTAGACTATAGACTAGACTATAGACTAGACTATAGACTAGACTATAGACTAGACTATAGACTAGACTATAGACTAGACTATAGACTAGACTAGACTATAGACTAGACTAGACTATAGACTAGACTATAGACTAGACTATAGACTAGTCTATAGACTAGACTATAGACTAGACTATAGACTAGACTATAGACTAGACTATAGACTAGACTATAGACTAGATATAGACTAGACTATAGACTAGACTATAGACTAGACTATAGACTAGACTATAGACTAGACTATAGACTAGACTATAGACTAGACTATAGACTAGACTATAGACTAGACTATAGACTAGACTATAGACTAGACTATAGACTAGACTATAGACTAGACTATAGACTAGACTATAGACTAGACTATAGACTAGACTAGACTATAGACTAGACTAGACTATAGACTAGACTATAGACTAGACTATAGACTAGACTATAGACTAGACTATAGACTAGACTATAGACTAGACTATAGACTAGACTAGACTAGACTAGACTATAGACTAGACTATAGACTAGACTATAGACTAGACTATAGACTAGACTATAGACTAGACTATAGACTAGACTATAGACTAGACTATAGACTAGACTATAGACTAGACTATAGACTAGACTATAGACTAGACTATAGACTAGACTATAGACTAGACTATAGACTAGACTATAGACTAGACTATAGACTAGACTATAGACTAGACTATAGACTAGACTATAGACTAGACTATAGACTAGACTATAGACTAGACTATAGACTAGACTATAGACTAGACTATAGACTAGACTATAGACTAGACTATAGACTAGACTATAGACTAGACTATAGACTAGACTATAGACTAGACTATAGACTAGACTATAGACTAGACTATAGACTAGACTATAGACTAGACTATAGACTAGACTATAGACTAGACTATAGACTAGACTATAGACTAGACTATAGACTAGACTATAGACTAGACTATAGACTAGACTAGACTAGACTATAGACTAGACTATAGACTAGACTATAGACTAGACTATAGACTAGACTATAGACTAGACTATAGACTAGACTATAGACTAGACTATAGACTAGACTATAGACTAGACTATAGACTAGACTATAGACTAGACTATAGACTAGACTAGACTAGACTAGACTAGACTAGACTGGACTATAGACTAGACTATAGACTAGACTATAGACTAGACTATAGACTAGACTATAGACTAGACTATAGACTAGACTAAAAATTGACTTATGTTACATATCATTTAACAAATTTTATATATCCCCTTCATTTCTGTAATGAAATGTTAACAAAATTTTACGTCATAAAGTGAATCACAACATATTTTTTCATTCATATAATCAGTTGACATTGTCACCCTAACTAAGGGGTATTTTTTAAGATGAAATGAGTCAATAGAGCTTAAAGAGATCTATGACAACTTAAACAGAACAACAAACAGGTTTTCTTATTGTAAATATTTAAAAATCCCCCATATTTATTTACAATTTTTTTAAACTATCCCCAAAACAGTTTCACATATTACAGTTCCATTTAAGGGTTAATTAAGGCATAAGCCTTCCATTATAGTAAACTGTCTAAAAGAAATTTCTTTGATTTGTTTATTATTCATAAATTCACTTAAAATGCACTTAAGTAGCAAAACAATTCCACTTTATAGATATTTTTAGATTGTTTTGATATAATGCGCCTTTTTATAGAAATACTTATCTTTGGAAAAATATCTTTAGAAATCTTATCAGGTCAAGTACTAAATTCGACTATATAAACAAACTGATTTGACCACTTAACCAACAGTAATTGTTACTTCCAAAACAATGGTATCCCAAACTTTATTCGGCCTTTTGGCTATACTCATTTGTGCCCATAATGTTATGGGCATAACCATCATCTCGAAATCGGAATGGGGTGGTGCTCCTGCTACCAGCAAGACTTCATTGGCTAATGGTTTGTCTTATGCTGTTATACATCACACCGAGGGTGCCTACTGCTCCACCAAGGCCAGCTGTATGCAACAAATGCGTAATATCCAACATTATCATCAAAAAACTTTGGGTTGGGCTGATATTGGTTATAACTTCTTGATCGGTGGTGATGGTAATATTTATGAGGGTCGTGGCTGGAATGTCTTGGGTGCTCATGCCTCCAACTGGAACTCGAAATCTATTGGTATCTCCTTCATGGGCAATTATCATAAGGATAAACCTACTGCTGCTCAAATTACCGCTGCTAAGAATTTGTTGGCTGCTGCTGTTTCTCGTGGTCAAATTAAGTCGGGTTATATTTTGTATGGTCATCGTCAAGTCGGTTCTACTGATTGTCCTGGCAATAACTTGTATAACGAAATCAAGAAATGGTCTAACTGGAAGGCTTAAGTCTGAGGAGAATTAATTGAATGAAAAATAAATAATAATAAATGCATAATTAAAAAAAAACACTAGTTTCAATGTCAAGACCCCTCCTTGTAGCTTTATAGTCAAAAACTGATAAACTCGTCTGCACTCTATAATAGAGTCTTAACTATAGACTAGACATTAAACTCAGCTATATTATGTAGTGCAGAATACACTCTAGTATGAACTATTGAATATACTGTAGTCTGGACTATAGTCTGGACTATAGTATAGACTATAGTCTGGACTATAGTAAAGACTATAGTCTGCACTATAGTATAGACTATAGTCTGGACTATAGTATGAACTATAGTCTTGACTATAGTATGAAATATAGTCTTGACTATAGTATGAACTATAGTCTTGACTATAGTATGAACTATAGTCTTGACTGTAGTATGAACTATAGTCTGGACTTTATTATAGACTATAGTCTGGACTTTAGTGTAGACTATAGTCTGGACTTTAGTATAGACTATAATCTAGACTTTAGTATAGACTATAGTCTGGACTATAGTATAGACTATAGTCTGGAATTTATAATATATTACAGATTATAGTGTGGACAATAGTCCAGTCTATACTATAGTCTATACCATAGTCCAGACTATAGTCTATACCATATAGTTTATATCATATTCCAGACTATATGCTATACCATAGTCCACATTATAGTTTATACCATAGTCCAGATTATAGTCTATACTATAGTCTGGTCTATAGTATAGACTATAGTCTGGACTGTAGTATAGACTAAAGTATAAATTATAGTCTGGACTATAGTCTGGTTAATATTATAGACTATAGTCTGGATTATATTATAAACTATAGTCTGGACTATAGTCTATACTATAGTCTGGACTATAGTCTATACTATAGTCTGGACTATAGTCTATACTATAGTCTGGACTATAGTCTATACTACAGTCTGGACTATAGTCTATACTATAGTCTGGACTATATTATAGACTATAAACTTGAAATAGTCTCGACTATAGACCGAACCGTAGCTTAGGTAATATAGTTTTCGATAGCTCTCGATTTCAGAAAAAAACGATTAAAAACGAATCCATTTCTATATAAGTTTTCTTTATTTCATTTAAATAAATTATAACAACTTAAGCCTTCCAGTTAGACCATTTCTTAATTTCATTATACAAATTATTGCCAGGGCACTCAGTAGAACCCACCTGACGATGACCATACAAAATATAACCCGACTTAATTTGACCACGAGCAACAGCAGCAGACAGCAAGCTCTTAGCAGCCGAAATTTGAGCAGCAGTAGGTTTATCATTATTATAGTTGCCCATGAAGGAGATACCAATCGATTTAGAGTTCCAGTTGGTGGCATGAGCACCCATAACATTCCAGCCACGACCCTCATAAACATTACCATCACCACCGATCAAGAAGTTATAACCAATATCAGCCCATCCCAAAGTTTTTTGATGATAACTTTGGATATTTTTCATTTGTTGAATACAGCTGGCCTTGGTGGAACAGTAGGCTCCAGCGGTATGGTGAATAACAGCATAAGACAAACCATTAGCCAAGGAGGTTTTGCTGGTAGCAGGAGCACCACCCCATTGCGATTTGGTGATAATGGTGAGGCCAAAAATGGACTGGGCGCACGACAGCACAACCAAGAGTGTGAATAAAGTTTTAGATATCATTGTCAGTATTTTTTTTTTGAGTATTTAGAAGAACTAGTGTTTAGTTTTATGTTGAGCAGAGTTTATATACTGAGAGAAAGTTGAGGGTGTTGTTCGTGATAAGAATGAAAATTTCATTTCGAAACTGATAAGGTTTCTAAACGATTATTTATGTTTTCTATGTTTTAAATTTATGCTCTAATATGTATGCTGTCGATGTTGTTTTAAAATATTTTGTTTAATATATTAATTTATACTTAGTTTATATTTAAAACAAAAGTAATGTCGTCAGACCATAGTCTACTATACAGTGAAGACCATAGTCTACTCTGTAGTCCAGACCATAGTCTACTCTGTAGTCCAGACCATAGTCTACTCTGTAGTCCAGACTATAGTCTACTCTATAGTCCAGACTATAGTCTACTCTATAGTACAGACTATAGTCTGGTCTACTACTATAGTCTACTCTATATTACATACTATAGTCTACTACTATAGTCTACTCTATAGTCCCGACTATAGTCTACTTTATAGTCCCAAATATAGTCTACTCTATAGTCCCGAATATAGTCTACTCTATAGTCCCGAATATAGTCTACTCTATAGTCCAGACTACAGTCTACTATATAGTCCAGACTATAGTCTACTCTATAGTCCAGACTATCGTCTACTCTATAGTCCAGACTATAGTCTCGAATATAGTCTACTCTATAGTCCCGAATATAGTCTACTCTATAGTCCCGAATATAGTCTACTCTATAGTCCAGACTATAGTTTACTCTATAGTCCAGACTATAGTCTACTCTATAGTCCAGACTGTAGTCTACTATATAGTCCAGACTATAGTCTACTTTATAATCCAGACTACTTTATAGTCCAGACAATAGTGTACTCCATAGTCCCGACAATAGTCTAGACTATTGTCTACTCTATAGTCCAGACTATAGTCCAGACTATAGTCTACTCTATAGTCCAGACTACATTCTACTCTATAGTCCAGACTATAGTCTACTCTGTAGTCCAGACTATAGTCTACTCTATAGTCCAGACTATAGTCTACTCTATAGTCCAGACTATAGTCTACTCTATAGTCCAGACTATAGTCTACTCTATAGTCCAGACTATAGTCTACTCTATAGTCCAGACTATAGTCTACTCTATAGTCCAGACTATAGTCTACTCTATAGTCCAGACTATAGTCTACTCTATAGTCTAGACTATAGAGTCTACTCTAGTAATGGTTTGATTTCACCAAAACTTGTGGACCTATAAAAAAGCTTTGTCTTCAAACTGATAAATTTCGATTTCGTAACTGCAGAAGTAATCACTACTTCATTAACATAATTTATTACTTTTTATTACAAAGGTAGAGTGCAATTTGAGATTGCTTTATTGTAAATCACTCGGGGACTATTAGTAATTTTACTAAATCTATCAATAACAATAATAAATTTTAAATTGTTTTTGATAATTATCTGCTCGAATACTAGACATTTGTTTAACTATATAAACTGGTGCAGGTTTTCACAAAATAATCATTACAAAGTGTGTTATATACTTAATAAGTAAGAGAAATAAGAAAATGTTTTCCAAAACTTTAGTCGGTGTATTGGCGGTACTTGTATGTGCCCAAGCCGTTTGTGCTGTTAACATCATTTCCAAGTCCGAATGGGGCGGTGCTGCTGCTACCAGCAAAACCTCCTTGGCCAATGGTTTGTCTTATGCTGTTATTCATCATACCGCTGGAGCCTACTGTTCCACCAAGGCCAGCTGCATGCAGCAAATGAGAAATATTCAAAGTTATCATCAAAAGACTTTGGGTTGGGCTGATATTGGTTATAACTTCTTGATCGGTGGTGATGGTAATGTTTACGAGGGTCGTGGCTGGAATGTTTTGGGTGCTCATGCCACTAACTGGAACTCTAAATCGATTGGCATTTCCTTCATGGGTAACTACAACAATGATAAACCCACTGCTGCTCAAATTTCTGCTGCTAAGAGTTTGTTGTCTGATGCTGTTGCTCGTGGTCAAATTAAGTCGGGTTATATTTTGTATGGTCATCGTCAAGTCGGTTCTACTGAATGCCCTGGCACCAATTTGTATAATGAAATCAAGAAATGGTCTAACTGGAAGGCTTAAGTTGTCAATGGCAAATTGTGTTAATTGAAATGAAATAAAGAAAACGTTTATATTGAAATTAAAGTTGTTTTAAATGTTTATTAAATAATTAAATTTTTATTTACAAAAAATTTTGCCATAAATTCTTGAGTTCTAGAATCTTCGTGAAAATTCGACAATCAATCTCGATCCTCTAAATTTGTCTTATTTAAATTCATATAAAACATATTACATATTCTGAAAAAAAACATTACAAATGATGGGTGAATGTATAACCGAATAAGTGCAAATACGAGATTAATTCCGTATATGTTTGAGTTGTGTTTTTGTTTTCATTTTCCTCAGCTGTAATCTGGATAATATGGAGAAAGTTTGTTCATTGAATAGCTTTATGACTTCCTCATAAAAAAAACTTTATCTATCAATTGAAACGTGTGGTGGATAAGAGTTAAATAAAAAATACATTTTGAAAAACTTTTCAATTTATGTTTGTTGTTTATGTTATAACGCAATAATGATGGTAATTTAAAATATATATAAAATAATAATAAAGTTGTAGTAAATATGTCAGTGATTTTTTAAAAATATATTGAAATAAACTTTAACCTCAAGAAGAACTAGTTTAGTTGTAGAACTAAATAGTTAGTTCAAACAAGAAAATTTACAGTTCTAGTTCAGTTGTAGTCAATTGCAGTTCAGTTGTAGTTAAGTTGTAGTTAAGTTGTAGTTCAGTTGTAGCTAAGTTGTAGTTCAGTTCTAGTTCAGTTCTAGTTTAGTTCTAGTTCAGTTCTAGTTCAGTTCTAGTTCAGTTCTAGTTCAGTTCTAGTTCAGTTTCTAGTTCAGGTCTAGTTCAGTTCTATTTCAGTTCTAGTTCAGTTCTAGTTCAGTTCTAGTTCAGTTCTAGTTCAGTTCTAGTTCAGTTCTAGTTCAGTTCTAGTTCAGTTCTAGTTCAGTTCTAGTTCAGTTCTAGTTCAGTTCTAGTTCAGTTCTAGTTCAGTTCTAGTTCAGTTCTAGTTCAGTTCTAGTTCAGTTCTAGTTCAGTTCTAGTTCAGTTCTAGTTCAGTTCTAGTTCAGTTCTAGTTCAGTTCTAGTTCAGTTCTAGTTCAGTTCAGTTCTAGTTCAGTTCTAGTTCAGTTCTAGTTCAGTTCTAGTTCAGTTCTAGTTCAGTTCTAGTTCAGTTCTAGTTCAGTTCTAGTTCAGTTCTAGTTCAGTTCTAGTTCAGTTCTAGTTCAGTTCTAGTTCAGTTCTAGTTCAGTTCTAGTTCAGTTCTAGTTCAGTTCTAGTTCAGTTCTAGTTCAGTTCTAGTTCAGTTCTAGTTCAGTTCTAGTTCAGTTCTAGTTCAGTTCAGTTCTAGTTCAGTTCTAGTTCAGTTCTAGTTCAGTTCTAGTTCAGTTCTAGGTCAGTTCTAGTTCAGTTCTAGTTCAGTTCTAGTTCAGTTCTAGTTCGTTCTAGTCGTTCAGTTCTAGTTCAGTTCTAGTCCAGTTCTAGTTCAGTTCTAGTTCAGTTCTAGTTCAGTTCTAGTTCAGTTCTAGTAAGTTCTAGTTCAGTTCTAGTTCAGTTCTAGTTCCAGTTCTAGTTCAGTTCTAGTTCAGTTCTAGTTCAGTTCTAGTTCAGTTTCTAGTTCAGTTCTAGTTCAGTTCTAGTCAGTTCTAGTTCAGTCTAGTTCAGTTCTAGTTCAGTTCTAGTTCAGTTCTAGTTCAGTTCTAGTTCAGTTCTAGTTCAGTTCTAGTTCAGTTCTAGTTCAGTTCTAGTTCAGTTCTAGTTCAGTTCTAGTTCAGTTCTAGTTCAGTTCTAGTTCAGTTCTAGTTCAGTTCTAGTTCAGTTCTAGTTCAGTAGTCAGTTCTAGTTCAGTTCTAGTTCAGTTCTAGTTCAGTTCTAGTTCAGTTCAATTCTGGTTCAGTTCAGTTCAGTTCAGTTCTAGTTAAATTTTAGAACTTCGCGTTATTTTTATTGTGATTTTATTCCAGTTTGTTGTTTTTATTTGCAAAAAAATCTATAATCATAAATATTTTATTTCTTTACTTTAACGATAAAAAAGAACCTACAACTTTTTTATGGCCTGTTCAATGTTGGCCCTCATTTGCATGCCAATCGTAGGACATTTGTAATTTCCTTTACTGCTTTTTCCTTTTTTAACAAACTTAATTTGTTGTCTTTACCAGTTCAATGTAAATGTACCAACCACTGCCGTCATATCGAATATTTTTATAAATTTAATACAAAATGCCAAACACCATCTTACAGCTACTGCTGTTTGAAAACCCCAACTCCGGGCTGGTTTGTAAAATTGTTTACATTTTTTTTCCTTTTCAATCTTTATCTAATAATACGGGCTTTGAACAGAAGGGGGTTGAATGTCAAAAAAGGAAGTAGAGAAGAAGATGAAAAAACTGTGCTAAATACAAAGACAAAAAAAATATTTAATTTCCGATCACGTAACCAACTCACGTTCCTCTTCACTTCACTTTAATGTGATGATGGTGCTGTTGAAGTTGTTGTTGTCGATGCTGCTGTTACTAAAGCCGCCACTGCCACTGACACCAACCACCAGCATCACCACTAGTGCTCCACGAACCATCACTGCTGATTTCATTGATGTGCATTGCAATGTCAGTCAAACAGTCATTGAGTCCTTGTCTTGTTACATGGTGTGATATTTAATGGTTCTTGAGTTTTCCCCCCGAACTGTCCCCGATTGTAAAGTAGATTGTAGTGGTGGCAAATGTAGTGACACAAGTACCTAGAATAAGTAGTTGTTTTAGTAGTTGTTCTTGAAACACAAACTCCAATAACCAAAGCAGTTAACAAAAACTACTACTTGCAACAGCGATACAAAAATAAGAAATTTCACTTGAAACTCCCCAAAAAAAAAGAAAATCTGATGACAACCGAAAAAAATGTGACATAAAGCTACTTTTGCTGCTAACGAAAG